TGTTTGTTTTTGGAAGTCTGCTGGATTCCGCTAACATTTTTAAGAGTAAAAGATCCAGGGGTGACCATGGAGATAAAAGTTTTGTACTGCCTTTTTGAACAATCCCGAGGTAAAGACAGCACAGGGTTAAAAAAGGCAGCTGTTTGCAGAAATTAATACTACAGAATGTGGGGGGAACTTAGAGGGAAGTAAATGGTTGGGAGTTGTGGAAATGTTAAAAGGTAACGGTTGTGAAGATGTTATAGAGTAACAGTTGTGGTGTTATAAGAAGGAAGCTTTTGGTTTGATGATAAAACCCAGTTATGTAAATGTAATTATTTGTGCAACTCAGCACCGTCACATTGGGTTGAACCACGGTAGTTAAATTATACAAGGGGGTCAGGTGGCTACTACAACCACCAGGGCCGTCCCTAGGCGTACACACCATACGCAGCTGCGTAGGGCACCCAAATATTTGGGGCACCTCTAGGTCTTAGTGTCCACCCTCCCACCTCTTCCTATCCCTGTTCTGACCCTTCCTCCAGGCTCCCACAGCTAGCTACTGCAGCCTGGTGAGTCTTCCTCTGGAGGGGATCTAGTAACTTAAAAGTGAAAAAGTCTCCAGCCTGCCAGGCCTATTAGCACAACATTGAAACTGTTAAAGAGCCATTCAAGTGGTAATGAAGCCATTGAACGGGCATTTGCCAACCCCCAGGTATCTACTGTCAGTTTCTGAATTTACTGACAAAAACAGTTGTGCATGACTAATATTTACTCAGAACATGTTCATCTACAGGACCTTAGTTTAAAATTTGCTTTAAAAATATTTCATTAGAAGATTGCTGAAGATTATAAAATCACATCTCTAAAAAATCCTTGCATAGATTTTTAGATGCATAATCTGAATATTCATCTTTAGCCTTAAATGCTTGGATCTTCAGACATATAGTTTTTTTAATAAATCCTTCAAAAGACCAGCCTTATCTAAAATACACATTTTAATTTTAATTACTATAATACAAAAAGCTTGCGTCCAAAGTCTCTCTGTCCTTTCTGTCCATCCCTTTTCCCCTTCACCTGCCACCCCCCCTTGAAGAGAGCCCTTAAAGAGACATTACCCCTTTCCTTCCAGATAGCTGAACAAATGAGTTTCCCTTTCTTTACCTCTGACTATTTGATGAACTAGTTTTAAGAGAACCCTCCAGCAAAAAGAGTACCTTAGTAAGAAATAAAATACTTTGTTATGCATAAAATCTTTGGAAACATATTTTTTAAAGTTGGTGAAATTTCATAAACATGTCTATTGTTATGGAGATCACACAATGTCTATTGTTATGGAGATCACACAATGTAAATTAGTGTTCCCTTTTTCTAAAAGCAATGAACATTGTTATGAAGACACTAAACCTCTGTGACGGATTAATTTAAAATAATGTCTTTGTTTCCGTGAGTTAAGTATGTAGTTATCTGGAATGATTACTTTATGACGGCTTAAGCGTACATTTAAAATATAAAATCAGCTTAGAAATAGTGATTAAGAACATGTAAATCAGAGAAGAGCTGCATCATGTATTCCATAATATTTAATGTTGTATTCAGAAAGACAGCTGACTCACCCTTACCACAAAGTTTTTGCAAATAAATCTCTGACAAACTTCAGGGCATATCAAAAAACCTGTGACTAACATTCTTTATTCCCAAATTTAGTGCTTTCAATTAGGTATCTTCTGCATGTCCAATCTTCACCAGCTGTCATGCAGTGGAAAACATGCTCTTCTGCAATTTCTTTAATGTCATTTGCTTCATTTGGGTTCAGGGATTTGTCTGGAAGGGGGTGAGCAGGGAGGGGGAGGGAAGAGAGGAGGGAGACAGTGGGGAGAGGGTGGGGTCTGGGCAGAGTGGGGGTGGGACTTGGGGTGGAGCAGGAGTGGAGTATGGGCAGGGCCACAGGCAGAAGAGGTGGGCTGGGGAGCTAGCCTCCGCAAGCGGCAGCTTCACCACCCATGACCGCAGGTAAGAGCGGTTCAGCTCCCGCACACCCAATGCGCACTGCAGTGTCCTTATTCACAGAGACGAATGCGCCGTCACCGTGCATTCTGCATGAGGGAGAGGGTTTGGGGCTCTCTGCGGGGAACTGTGACTCTCCACCGCTGTGAGGCGGGCCGGGTGGCTCAGTATCCTTAGTGCCTCCCCCCTAGGCTGCAAGCCCGGGCTGCCGTCGGGCATAGGGGCACCACTTTAATAATATTGCGTGGGGCTCCAAAGATCCTAAGGACGGCCCTGACCACCAATATGTTTTTGTCCCCAGGAGCCTTTATAGCTATTGTGTGGGGAAATGGGCCCTTTTCCCACAGAAATGGTCTGTAAAGGACTGCTGCAGGCAGCAGGCAGCCAGATACTCTGATCTATATTATTTGACTATTGGACGATTTAATCAAAATCACTAAAGGAATGTAAGGGATTTCCATTAAAACTCGACTGTCTCTGATTGTACAAGATGGGAATGTAATCTTGTGTAAAAATAATAAAAGCAGTGCAAGGGGTAAAAGAGAATTTTTGTGTGTGAATCTTTTTGTGTAATTATGTGAGGTTTTAAGGACCTAAACAACACTCATGGTTTGTAAAATCCTGTTTGTAGGTTTAAGATAAATTGGTTTTGTTTTGTTTTTAAATAAAGAAAAAAGAATGGAACTAAATCCATTTGAATCTTTCATTCAAAGTTGCAAAACTGACAGTTTTTGCCAGACCCAGGTAACTAGTGTTGTTTGGCTTTGGTATTTAGCATTCAGCCCTTAAGGTACCTCAATGTTTAATATGTTTTTAAATAAAGACCAAAGTTGTGGCTGTTGTGGGAGACGGCCAGGGCCATGGAATGAGAGAAACATTCTGGATCTTTTGTGTATGTGTGCACAGGAAAAAAGAGAAGGAAAAGGGGAGCAATGTTGGGAAAACTGAGCCTTGGGGTGGCTCTGGGTGATCGGATGGTCGCTTTGGTGGGGGTGCATGAGAACTCTGTGGGCATGGGGGAGGCAGTTACATCTTGTGTGAAAGTTGATGTGGCTAATATAATGTTGTAGAGTTGAACTGTGGAGGGGGTGTGCATTTTCCCAGAACAGGGGCAGTGTATATTGTAGAAGCGGTTAAAGAAATGCAAAACAAAACATGCTACTTAATTAAAATCCTATTAGGGCTCCAAAAGGAGCCACAATAGGTTGTGTTTTCTTTTCCAGGTGGCTGTGTGTTTTAGAAGCAGGAGTTAAAATGAAAAGTAATCAGAATTCTGGTGGAAGCTAATTGTGTGCCTTTTAAGACAGAGTCTCTGAGCTGCTAAGAGCTTTGGATCCAAAAGCAAGCCAGAAAGCCTCTGTGTGGATGCAAATTACCTAGCTGATAGGGGAAGGAGAGAACTGCCCATAAATGGCGGCACAAAGGAGCGGCAAATAATAAATATACGTGGTCAGCAAATAAACTACTTGTAAGCAAGAAGACAATGACCCTCCAGGAAAGGGAGTTGGGAAAACAAGTCAAGCCTGAAAATAAGAGGGGACAGGTTAACCCTAAGTATTCCTTTGTGTGTGTGTCTGCACAGTGCCAAAATCTGAAGACAGATACAAAACGAGTCTGCTTACATACACAACACCCTGACCTTGTAATTCACCAAAACCCAAAGCCTATGCAAAGATTTCAAGAGGGTAATGAACACACTGGCCTCAAAGACAATTTGTCTAAATAAAAGGCATGGTATAACAAGATACTTATAAACACCTGTTGGCAATAGATTTGATGCTAATGTTATTGTTAGTTCATATGGCAATAATGCGTCTCACCTGCTACCTGTGAATAAACTTAAAGCTAGGCACAGCAGAAAAACCATTACAAACGTGGTCTGTTGTACAAGAAGGGAAACTGAGGTACACCACCTCATGAATTTCATGAATGAACAGTGGGATAATTCACTAGCCTGCCTATAGAAGGAGGGGGGATATAGCTCAGTGGTTTGAACATTGGCCTTCTAAACCTGGGTTGTGAGTTCAATCCTTGAGGGGGCCACTTAGGGATCTGGGGCAAAATCAGTACTTGGTCCTGCTCGTGAAGGCAGGGGGCTGGACTCAATGACCTTTCAAGGTCCCTTCCAGTTCTAGGAGAAGGGAGATCTCCATTAATTTTTTATTTTGTTTATAATTTTATAGAACAAAACAAGGAAAGAATGGCAGTAATGCTTCTGTTTTCCCTGCAGTCAGCAAGATTTAGAAGGGTTATTTTTAGGCAATAATCTGTCCCTACCCAGAGGGCTGGGAAATGTTCCTTCTGTTTTTCAGACACTCTACAAGTAAGCTGGTGCCAGCGGAAGAATAACCCAGAGCACCGTGGGTCTACTGTCATGACAAAGATTGTGTTGTGTGTTTGTTTTGTTTGTCTTCTTACCGTTATTTTGGTGGATATTGTACAAGGAGGGCTAACACATATAGCAGCAAAGGTCAATGCATGGTGACACCTGCCTGGGAAGCACGGTCTACCCAAACTGAGAAAATCAAGTGCAAATAAAAAGGCACAAAATGGCGGTTAAGAAGGACATACTATAAATTGTTACATGCATTTTACAGGTGGTCCTACGAAGGGGAACCCAAGGATTCTGTGGCCTGGAATGGAACAATCATTGTTGCTAATCACAATTGTCACCATTGTAAACCCTGCCCAGATCCCGCGATGTGAAGTGACAAAAGGAGGGAACACATGGACTGCCATTTTTTCCAAAATGTTAAAAATGTAATTCTAGCAGGAGACAAAAGAAAGGGACTCTGAAAGAATAGGTCCCAAGTTGCAATTTGAGATACCATATGATTGGCTAGCTAACTAGCAGCCAAACTTTACTACAGAATACATACAGACTTCCTCTCCGCACTAGAGGTATGGTATAAAAACTATTACAGAGCAAGATACAGATGTAGAGTTTGTTCCTTTCCGCTGGTACCTCCAGTGCTGTGTGGTTCTTATTTTTACCTTGCTTTCAGTTTTTTTTCCCTGAACTCTCCTCGCATTATTAAAGGACCTTCCATTGTCTGTGCTCAATGTTAAATCCAGGAGAGAGAGAGAGAGAGAGAGAAACTTCTCACCTTGTATCATTCCTGGATAGTTTACACCAAGAAGCTGATCTTAGGAAGGTTTCATGCAAGTTTTCAAGAATCAATAGGGCAGACTGGATTCCATGAAGAACCAGAGGGTGATGCAATTGCCCTTCAACAGTTAAGCTCATTGCTTTAATATTGTTATTGGAGAAGAGGGTGGAAAGGATGAAGGGCTTCCCTTAATGAATGGTCACCATTCAAGCTCTACAGCCCTATCTTCTGCACTGCTGCTGGTGTGTAAATGCTGGTTTTCTATGGAACATCCCCCAGTTCATATTCAGATGCTGTTGCTTTCACAAGAGTCGCATAGTCGTTTTTCACTGTGCCAATTGTCTCATATTCATTCTCTTTCACAGGCTGTGATGTATAATTGTTTTCACCTCTAGATTTTGCTTCCTCATACGTGCACTTGACATTGACACCTGAACAAGTCTCTCCTCTTGTGAGGTTCATGGAGTTATGACTGAAACAAAAGTCTAATATTAATGGGAGGAAAGAACCAGGGGAGACTCAACATCACCCAGCTTCAAGATCCTGGGTAGTGTTCCCTCTAATTTTTTCCCATCCATGTACGGAATGAATTTTGTTATGTGCACCAATATGGAGGTGATGTGTTGTGGGGGTGGGGCTGAGGGCTTTGGAGTGTGGGAAGGGGCTCAGGGCTGGGGCAGAGGATAGGGGTTCAGGGGGTGAGGGCTCCGGCTGGGAGCGCAGGCTCTGGGGTGGGGCCAGGGATGAGGGGTTCAGGGTGCGAGAGGGGGCTCAGGCCTGGGGGTGCAGGCTCTGGGGTGGGACCAGGGATGAGGACTCCCCCCAGCCCTCTCTCCCTGCAGCAGCACCTGGGCTGGGGTAAAGCGTCTCTCCCCGCCACAGCAGCTGCGAGGCTGGGACTGGGGGAAAGGCGCCTCTCCCCATTACAGCCCCAGAGCTGGGAGGGAGAGGCATGTCTCCTCGCCGCAGCCCCGGGGCTGGGGGAGTTAAGTGCGCAGCCCTTGGTGGCCTCCTGTGCGGCTGCGTACCTTAGAGGTAATTTAGATCCTGGGCCAGATTTTAGTCTGCATTACACCAGCATAAACCTGGAGTCATTCCATTAACTTCAATGGAGTGATACTGGATTTACAGCAGGGTGGCAGAGATCAGGCTTTGGTCCTCTGCTTTTAAATGACAGTGGAATATTAGTTATGGAATAACAAGACTCTGGATACTAACCCAAGGACATTATGGGAGGCTGAAAAAGTTGTATTAAAAGGGAAGGCAACCAGGGCTGGCTCTAGGATTTTTGCCACCCAAAGCAAAAACAATTTTGGCCGTGCCTCCCCCCCCCCGTTCTTTAATTACCCCACCCCCAGCCCCGCCTCAACTCCGCCCCTTCCCCAGGTTTGAGAGCCTGGGAGGGAGGGGGAGACTCCAAGTGGCCATGGCGCGGGCGCCGCTTCTCCCCCTCCCTCCCAGGCTCCCAAGCCTGGGAGGGAGGGGGAGCAGCGGCGCGCGAAATGGCCGCTCAGGATCTC